CGACATAGTTTAGGTATACCGAACGATTTGATCGATTATTATGAAAAATACAAAAACCAAGGATGTTGTATGAAGTTTAGGACTTTACTAAACGGCGCCAAATTTAAACCTGTTATATATCGGACATATTCGTACACCGGTCAGACATGATATTACTATAATAAAATAATACATGTTTAAAATATTATTTTATATTTATTAACATAATTAATCATATATTATTATTATTGAATCAAAATTTTAAAATTTCAATCTAATCAAGACAATATATAGGTAATTATTATAATTATTATTATTACAATGCATTACCAAAATATTGCAATTTTGAATTAATAATCAAATAATGACATAATGTAAATAATTTTACTATGATTGAATAATATTAATTGGAAATCTTTTATTATATTGTATTGTATTTTTCCTAGATTCTCAGATTTGTTGGGTAGATCTGTATAGGTACGTATTTTCATAGTACTGCTAGCTTTATTCTTGATAAGTAAACTTCCAAATTCCAATTTTTAAACAATTTGACCAAATGGGTACTGCTCTGCTGTACTGCAGGTACCTAGAGGAATCGCCGTAATGAATGTGTTAAATTTGAAGTCAATGACATAAAATCTAAAAACTTTGTATTCGATAAACGAGTCTGAGGGAAGGTGGTCTGTTAGCACTCAGCCTAAATTACTATTTACTATTAATTACTAAATATATATTTTATGATATTATTACTATTTAAGTAATTTATTTTACTTAGTAATAGTGTAATACAGTAGGTCGAATTAATTCTTGCAGAAAGAATCGCATTTTAAAATGTCATTATATGATGCGTCAAATTACTAAATATAAGAATAAAGTTTCAAGTACTCAGGAAAAATATTTTTAAATTACAGTAAAATAAAACTAATTGGCTATTTTTCGTTTAAATACTGTGAAAATTTGAACTTGAATATCTATATACAAAACTGTGTTCATATAATTTTTTAGATACTTTTGATGACAGTATTATCTATTTATAATAAATGAAAAACTTTTTTTTAATTTTTAATCCTTAGCTATAAAAATCTAACATCTTATAAATTGTTAACAAAAAATAATTTGTAAATATTCAATATTTTGATAAATTTTGAAAACATTTTAACTTTAAACGTCTATAAAAAAATATTGTGGGTTTACGCCCATCATTTTTTTTTTTTAATTTTCACTAACAACAACTTTTGAGAAACCTTGTATTAATTTATCGTTGCAGTTACGATTGTTATTTGTTCGTATACACTGAATCAACCTACTTATTAAGTTTTTATAACTGTGCTATTCAAAGTAAATGCATACTACTCAAAGCGAATATTAAACATAAATACTAAAATATAAAGGTTACCAAATTCTTGGGTTATAGCTCAATAGGTTGTATAAAAATTGTATTATAAGTTTAGAAACCGGAAATTTAATTTACTAACTTATTTATTTCCTAGATACAATTTTATTTTTCATGTAAACCTAAGGTGTTACCCGGCGTATAGTATAGGCAAAATAGGTACATATTATCAAACTTGACATTAAACGGAGATGACATTTTAACCCGTTCGGGCTTACGTATATTTTTATCCATTGCGCTTTTGGGAGTAAAAGTATATACTTCTATACCACCCAGTTAGCATATTATCGGTGGCAACAATATTTAAATTAAATCTAAAAAGTTTATTTAAGCCCCAAAATAATATAAAAACTAACTTACGCTTAAACGTTGACTCTCCCGGTGAAACTTATAGCTATGTAATATCTAGAGTTCAGACGTGCTGCAGTACTTCGCCGCCGAAAAAACCGCGATTTTCAACAGTTTTCATCTCGCTCCGAACTGAAACTTGAAGATATCCTGAAACGAATCTGAAAGTAACAAAATGTGAGAGTTCATGGTATATAATATACTTATTGCTTGACAACTTTTCTATATATTCTTGACTTAATTTTTTTTTATCCATCTTTGACGTTTGCCATAGATAATATAAATATATTAAAATATGTGATAGATCCATAGATCTTATACTCAGCATATGGTCTATTGATAAATCATATGTTCAGAAATCTTTGTGATCTGGTGTAACCCGGTTTTCTATTTCAATTGTTTGTCGTATGCCAAATTTAACCATACAAACTAGTCACAAGCTTATAAACATTTTTAAAATGAATTCTTCCACCGGCCAATTTATGAACATTAAACTTAAATTATTTAGTAATTTGTTATTTTTTTTGTCAATTTCAATTTTTTAACATATATCTACCATATTTTGGCAACACTAATTCAACCTATTCTATATAAGGTACCTAAAAGTACAAAATATATTTACTAAAAAAGCAGTGAATGTATAATAACCATTATGTATATAAGATATAACGGGATCTGAGAATACTCAATAATTTATATCCCCCCTTTAAAAAAACTCTGAGCACGAAACTGAGCCGATAAGCCGATTAATGATGTAATATGTATGACCGTATATCAGCGAAATTATGATTTGTTTTTTAAAAATAATATTTTTTTTTAATTTTCAATATCGTGAGGAGAGACATATCAGTAAATAATTTGTTTAATTATGTAATATTATCGACGTGATTATAGACTCAATCAGGGGCGTAGTTACGATTTACGGCGGGAGGGATATGAGGGATAGATCCCCCATGAGCTGTATTTTTATACTGTCGTATACCCACAAATAGTTCAGATACAAACTTATAAATTAATAATTATTATTAAACTAAAAAATAAAATAAAATATTTAGTTGTGTTAGTACGGATCATAAATATTTACTCGGTAAACGATGAGCACGATTTTAAAATATATGGTCTGTTTCATTTTTATTCTTATTTATTAATAAACACTTGGGTGCCCTGCCACACCGTCGTCCGTCACCTGTACCTAATTACAGTACCTACTTCCTACACACTACATTCATATTATAGATTATAGATGGTAAGTAATCCGATGATAAGTAAAACCACTATTCCAAAAATTAAAAATTTAATAATAAAAATGTAACTTCATGATTTACATTTCGTAGAACGAAATTATTATATTGGTTTGAGTCATTAAATTATACCAAATGTAGATAAGGGGGTGTGGGAGGCAAAGGCCTCCACAACATAGGTGGAGATCGGGGGGCTTACGGGGGCTTAGTCCCCCCCAAAATATATGATTTGAAGTTAAAGTCTCTCTAAGAATATTAAACAAACAATACCGTAATTTTGTACAGTTTGCAGAACTTTTTTCATTATTTTATATCCTTATATCCACAATTATATAAGTGTACCTAGTACATTACATACACATTATTTACCAATTTATTATTTACGGTAACATACCGAACAATTAAGTCACAATTCACAATAATATTATATTGTGTTTATATACCTAATATTGTACATATTTTGTACCAATTGGCCATCTATATTGAATAACATATTATACCATTCTATTTTAGATGGGAAAAATATTATTTCTTTTCATAATTTTTGTTAATTCTCGAGAAACGATATAGCTAGCTATTACAGGACTATCGGCTATCGCTATATAGCTGTATTAAACCTATCGTAAAGTTTATGCGATTGAATGAATCGTTAACCGTATTGACCATTTTATACTAAATTATATTTTACTTATTGTTTGATGTTCTTGGGAATACATTTCTTTTGAGATTGTGATTTAGATTTTTAATAAATAATTTAGTTCAAATATGTTTGAAATATTTAAATTTAAAATTTAAATCGTTTATTAATTATTCTTTTTTATGTTTGTAACTATTTAAGTTGTTATGATAACGAATCAACGAGAACAATTTTTTATGAGTGATTTAATGTAAAAATTAGTTTGTTGGGGGTGTGGGGGCAATGCCCCCAAGGGTCTGTTTGTCATCAAATATTTGAGCCCCCCCTCAATATTTCACAAGATCTCCGCCTATGCTTCACAAGTTTGCTATACAAATTTATTTCAATCCCCCCCCCCCCCATAAAACATTCTTAATTACGCCACTAGACTCAATCATATATATACCTAAACCTAATACCAGTAATACCTATAGTCGAGAAACGTCTTGTCAATTTATAACATTACGTATTTTAATGGTAGTCAGTACACGATTTAAGATATCTTAAGACCTTAAGTACTCAGTACTAAAGTAGATGTATTAGTCCTATTCCTATAGCCATATTATAAGAACTATTTTCTGATAGGCACTTAAGTAAAATCATACAACATTATGTTGTATTGAAAAATAACATTAATTACGGTATCACAAGCTCTTATTATAAGTCTCGTATAGTTCCTTATAGTTTAATATGTATTATATAAAAATCATTCAATATTGATACAGAGTATTGAGTACAGACATACACGGTGGTAATAATAGGTATATTATACTAAATTATGCTAATATTAAACTAAAAAGTAAAAGTGTAAAAGTGTTTTCAATGTTGTCATTCCGGTGTAGTACTAAACACTAATTGATTTTAATTACTATAATAGTATGACACTGACCAGATTTTACAAAGGCATATTCTAAGGTATATTTAACAATGTTAAAATATTGCAGGTCTTGTTATGTTTTTATGTTATATTCATATAAATTGAAAGTGTCAAAAGTGTTATAAGCTTACAAAGTTATAACTGTGTGTAGGACGAGGGTGCTGGGTGACTCTATTCCGATATTTTATTTTTTTAAGTATTGTTAGGTAGGGATGTTAATTTATATATAATAATATGTATAATGTATTGTACATAAGTGCTGCGTTTATTTACTAATAAATATTACTGTCAATGTATTATGTACACTCATTAACAAAGGTCAGTGGTTAAACTACATAAGTATAACTATTGATCGATTGACTTTTAATGAGAAAAAATATTTGTTTACAAAGAAATATACGTTGAACTATTAAAGTGTATTAATATTGAAATTAAATAATTAATATGCATAATGTATAACAAATAAAAATTGAAACTCCTCTATGGTTATTCTGGTTGCTTGGAAAACTTTCCTAGCTGTCCACATTGATACATAAGTGACAAGTGAGGGTGAACCATCAAGGGCCCGTATTCGCCGTTTGCCTGTATATAAAAAGGTTTTATTTTCATTCAAACGAAGATACGCGATTAATAGGTAAACTTATAATTATTTTATGTATATAAAACGTTATATAAATCCTTGCAGTATATAGACTTACCTAAACGGCTGAACTACGTGTAAACTTCAATACTAACGAGTGTATAAATAAATAAGGATTTGTATAGGTATAATAATGATAATGATCTAATCAGACAAAAAAATCAATTAAAAAAACTCTTTAACCAAATCTATGGAGTATAGATCTTACAATTTGTTGGATAAAATTAATTAGTTAGGTACCTACCTAGTTAAATTAATATCATTATATCATTACTTAATCTTATCGAAAAAAAAACATTCATATAATGAAAATGAAATGTAGGTAACCTAACTAACCCACAGAAACCACAGAAAAATTAATAATATGTGTAAGGTACCGATTTCTTTATTTTACTAACCTGTTTTTCGTACACTTGTTTTTCATCGACAGTCATATTATCCCAACTATCTGAAATGATTTTTCGAACAAAGTCTGTGGGGAGTTCAGGCTGTGTCCAATGATATAAATTCATCGTTTTTTTTACATAGATTCTTTTTGCTTCACTTTGAGTCCAGGTGGAGTGATTATGTGTTTTTTTATTTGGTTTATTTGTCTGCTGTATTTAAAACACAAAATAATAATAATAAACATTTTTTAAATATGTGCATGGTGCCTACAAAACGAGTAGATAAGCAAAATTGTTTATAAATAAGTAAGTGTCTATAAGGGTATAGGACAAGTCTCACCGTCCCACGGTTCTTTGATACGAAAACTATTTTCAAGTAACGGAAGGGATTCAAACTTTATTGATCACTATATAATTTATGAATTTATGATCCATGATCTACACTATACTTTAAAATAATAACTTATTAGAGTGATTTGAACAGATATTGGAGAGGGATACTCCATATACTCGAATGATATAGGTACTGCAGTTTAATAGTAAACTATAAAAAGATTATAAATATATGGGTTGCAAAATGTTTTCTTACTTTACGCATGTTGGGTCTGACAGGAAAGTTGGCGAAAGCGATGGATCCAGGAACAAAGTTATCCGGCAGACTAAAATGTATCGAGTCTTCAGACTTTTTATACGGCAAAAGTTTTTGGAGTTGTTCAGGAGTCATATCAGGTGACGGGTAGTTCTAAATTAAGGATAGGTGTTAATAACTGAGTATAAAATAAAAATTTACCTAAGAAGATTCGAAACAACCAGTCTGTAAGAAGATATTCATAGATTATATTATCTGTGTACCTATTGTAATATTATAAAAAATATATATGGACAAAAAAGCTAAATTGATTGATTTGTATCACCTATACATTATACCAATACGGCAATATACCAATCGATATATCGATGTATATGTATATGCTCCCGTACTGGATATTTATACGTCATAAATTAGAAGTATTTATTTTTAAAAACACTAAATCTAATATTAATTTATTATGTATCTATAATGAATAATGATAAATTGTGCTAAACATTGTTATTGAATGTTTGAATCTACTTTTTATTTGCCGTATACTTTTGAAAATTAATTTACTAGAAACAAATAAAAAAAAAAGTTATATTTTTATTTGATGTGGAGGGGGTGTGAGGAATTTTTGTTGAATATATTAAAGGGCTTGAGCCCCAGCCAATTTAAATCACTATTTGCGCCTATGATACAGACGTATTTTAAATTTAAATGTGAAAGTTAATCGTTAATGGGAAAATTCTTAAGTTTTTAATTATTTTGAGAATTTATGACTAGTTACGACGTTAGGTTTAGTATCGTATAAATTAATAATCATTTATTCATAAATAAATTATTTTGAAAGTTGTAGGTAAAAGTATAAAATAAAGCATGAATAATTTGTTTACAATTGAGTAGGTAGGTAATTTTTATTGGCCGTTACTACTAATACAAAATCCTGGCTATTCTACAAAATGTCGTTAATCGTAATAATTTATTGTTATTTAATTATGTATTACCATTTTGTTGTTCATATTACTTGGATTGAAAAAGTTGTATTTTGTAACTGGAAATGTTTTTTTTTTCAATTTAAGATCAGTACAGTTAATTTTTTTTTTATTTAGATCAGTCTTATGAAATGTACCTATAAATGTTTACGAAAATATTAGATAGGCAAAAAAGTTTATCAATAATCAATATTAATTATAGGTATGTCGTTGCACATTTTTCCTCTGTATATACATGCTTAGCGATTGTTACTACCATAGAGATGGCATGATATTACATGACTTTCCGTTTTACCTGCAATCGACCATCACGAATCTATATTCTATGCATAGATGTGCGCAGACTAAAAATCATGGCGTACCCATAGGCGGAAATCCATTGAAAAAATATTAGTAGGAGGAGGGGCTACTATTTTTCAAATGAACCTACATCGTGGATGGCTTTGCCCCTTCACAATAATTGTTGGACTTATCGAGGGGAGTTGAAAGATTTTTGGGGAGCTTTTCATTGTAGTTATACTTTATTCTAAATATCTAAAAAAATCTATTTAACAATTTTAAATTATTCTGAATTACTTTAGTATGAATTTCTTCCCCTAAGTACCTCAACGTAATTGGGTAAAGATCAACTTGTAGGAGCTTTCCTAGTTGAACTGATGACATAGACAATCAACTTTTAACTATTGTCTATCAGTAACAAATTTCAATCATGTTAGTCTTGTATTATACTAGCGAAGAACAAATATACTAGTGCCGGGTTGCATGAAAAAATTATTAATTTAACGGCCCAATCATGGGCCGCTAAGCCATATTTAAGGGAACATTAGTTCACTATGGATTTGTTAAATGTTTAGTGATTGTTCATGCGACCCGGCATAGGTATACATTTTATTCAACATTTTTTTTTTTTTACATATAACTTCAGAGTTACTTCATATACCCTCCTATTATGATAACACTTCTGTAAAATGTATATTTATGCCTGTAAATAATAAAAAATAATAGCCATAAAATTGTTTTATTATTATAAAAATATTGTATTTTTATTGTTATTTATTATAAAAATATATGTGGCAATATATTAAATAATTCCACTCTTGGTCTTCAAAAACTTTACAGGACGTGCCAAGGTTCATCGTGTACACATGCCTATGGAAGTATGTCTAACCTTTTTCAGTTGTTTCTATAGCTTCCATTAATCATTAGACAATAGGTATACATTGATAATAATTGATATTATTATATTTTGTTACTTAGATCACTTCATCTAGTTAAATCTATAAACTATATGGATATATTGTTATAATTAAATGCTGAAGATTAGATACAACAATAGACAATTGTCTTCAAGCATAGCTCCAAGGAAGTTGTTGATACGAAGGCGATGACTTTCTGAATCCATCATAACTACCAGCAAAAATAACTCTTACAATAAATTTTAACCGTCCATTGTAGGAAATGCTTTTTGGTTACTCTTCCTAACTATAAACATAATAGTAAGACTTTAATTATGACACCATTTTGTCAGTTTGTGAGTTGAGTTCTGATGCTAGGCTCAATTTCAAATGATCAACAACAGTTAAATTCACAAATGACAATGTAAAGCATAAAATTAAAGTATCAAATATGAATTTCCTCCACACAAATAAAACTTATTCGCTAGAGATTATGATATTATTATTATGTTTAAAAAAAATCTATAATCAAACATTTTGATTTAAATAAAAAATAAAATATATTATGCAAAAAAACAATCATAATTATTCATAATTACTGACAAAAATAAATATTTGGTATCATAATAAAATTATTATAAGATTATTTGTATTTAAAAATAAATAACATTTGAACACAATTAAAAATGTTATCATTAACTACTATATTTATATATTATAGCATTGATTAAATACACAATATGAATATTTAATTAACATAAATAAATAATAAACAATAAAAAATAAACATACTGAAATAGTAATATTAAAAACTATTATATTTCGTTATGGAGCATTGTTGACTGGTGCCAAAAATAGCATAATTGAGCTTATAATGGCCTTGCCACATGAATTCACTTTGGTCAATCATTTCAAATAGTCGGTTTCAAATATCAGGTTTATTTATAATAATGAAGGGTTAGAGTATAAATATTCTATGCAGTGAAAATAAAGTAACCCTTAATGTATTGATAAGTTGAGAAAAATAACAACTTAAGAATTTTGATTTATACCCGAGAATAATTTCATCAACATATTTTTAAAATGTTTAATATTTTTTTTTTTTCAATTGCTTTAAGAAACCTAAGCCTTTTTTTGTATTTCATAACAGAGAAAACATAATAATAATTATAAAATTAAAACAATGGTTTAATTAAAAGGAGTATACCGTGGCAGTAAATATTGTAAGTATTCAGATGACTTCTAATTTATCTAATTATTTCGAATTTACTTACAATAACTATACATGAATAATGAATGAATGAATAATACTATATTTACTATTTATTCAGCAGTAATATCCAACTGTAATGGAGGTATTAATTTCCATATATGCTGCTTTAATGTTTGACACTGCAAATTCAATTTGTATTGACCAGGATAAAAGAATATCACCCCACATTCATGATATAACTTATCATGTTTGTTTACCTATATGGAGTAATTTATAAATATAAATTTGTTTTAAATTTTTGACTTATGTATTAATCAACACAATTTATGTACTCACTCTAGTTGTATGAGTCTTAGTTGATCCAGTAGTAGCTAATCTATTTCCTAATTGATTGTTTGTAGTTCCATTCAGATAGTCTTGGTAAAAATTCAGCTCCAATGTAATATCATCTAATGGAGACATAAGTGAATTATGTACCCAAATTTGAAGCTTTAGCTGCTGACCAACAGGATATTGAGATGTTTCTGATAACAGTTTTTCATCACACTCACTGACAATTTTTTCTTCATTTAGATTGATTTCTAATAAAATTGTATATTTTATATTATTTTACACTTGCTCCACAAACATTTAATTTAGTAAATTACCCCAATAAATAGGTGATGTGCATACAATATCAAGCATCTGAGGACACAATGTAAGACCGTATAATTTTGCAACACCCCATCTCGATGGTAAATCATCATAAGAATTAACTGACCATCTCAGCAAAACTTGTTCTGCAATATGTTTATTGCACTGGGATACCATATCAGCTTGCCCTTCTTCACCACTACTAACCTAAGATTAAAATTAAAATTTCATAAAATCAGTATAGATTATTTAATAAAAGTCATTAAACCTGTTCTAAACTATGGATTAAAAATCTATCAACAGGTACAGGAATTCTGTAAGATTCTTTTTCTTCCATTAAAATACTTTTATTTGTTGCATATTTAAGTTCCATTTCTTGATTAGTAACATTCACAACATCAAGTACCAAATAAAATTGGGAACCCCTAAAATACAAAGTTGATGACTACATTAATAAATAAAATACTACAATATACTCACGTTTCTGCTTGTAAGACATCCCATCCAGTTACTAATACAGAATTGAAAATATTTAATGATAAAATACATGAAATTATCCTGCAATAACCAGCAGCCATACCTTCACCTCCAGCATATTTTATTTTAATATTAAATTCAATAACCTAAAGTTAAATATGTTCATTATTTATTTAACAAATGCATAATAATTATAAAAATAATCATGGACAATGAAAAAATTATGAAGGTATAATGTATGTATTAAAAACTTCATTTTTAAATGAAAAATTAAATCTTTGTGAATCATAAATAAAATAAATGTTACTTTTAAAGATGTTATATCAGTTGGGCTTCTATATCTAGAACAATTTGAATTTAAACTGCTTTCTCCTGATCTGAAAAATATATGCATAATTTATTAGATTTAAAAAAAAAGAAAAGTAAAAGATTCATCTGAATTTACCGAAATGAAGAAGCAGTCATTGGAGACAATCTTTCATTCCTTTGTTTAGGACTAGGTAATGATGGATATGAACTTGGACCTGACATAGTTAGGCTACTTTTTAAACTATTTAACTCTGAAGCAATAAAAATAACAATAATAAATACAATATTTAATTAATATAAAGTCAAGATTTTAACTTAATTATAATGAACAATTTAATGCATGATACTTTTTAATCAAATATTAGAACAATATTACCTGCAAGTGGATACTGGTTACTGGAAAGGAAATTTAATGCTCCAGTTAAATGAATCCCCAACACAATTTCTGATTTAGGAGTAATTGGCAAATAATCTTTTATATTTTCAGTGTCAACTTTAATTATGCTATTTTTTAATGAATGTTCAATAGTTGATTCAATTGATATTTCCAGAAGATCAATAGAAATTGATCCAACATTTGATATTTTTAAGTTATAATCCATACTAAAAATGTAAAAAGTAATTAGTATACCAGAAGACTGTAAAATATAAATAGTATTATATTTTATACACCTTTCACCAGCAAATAATGTAACATTAGATATATTATCATTTTTTGAGTCTAAAATGAATGCTTCCAGAATTGGCATTGACGGAATAACTTGTACATTGTACGTGGTTTCTGGAACATTTGGAATGTTTTTAAGACGACAATTTGATTTCACTCCTAATGTATGTGTTGAATAACCGTTAATTTCAATTTCTCCGACTTCTTTGGGTATACCAGTTAACACAACATTTTGATAACTAATTTCTGGAGGTAAATTTATAGAAAATGGAATGCTTTCAAAGACAGCTCCATTAGTTAATAGAAGCTAAAATACAAATTACCATTGAACACAATTATTACAATTTATAACATTATGGTAAAAAAAGTTAATAAATAAAAATACACTTACAATATTTGTTACTTCTAATTCAAAGTTTAATGGATTACTGAGTTCTAGTATAACTTCACAAGGTTCATTTATAACCCAAACATATTCCATTTTATTACTTTTAATATTATATTTTTCCATGGACCCGAACTTCAATGGAGTAAATAAGAAAGGACCAAAATC